GTGTGTGTGTGTGTGCGCGTTTAGCCGACGGCTATCAAAATGTGCTGATCTGATCAGTATTCGGAGAGAAGACAGAGGGAGTGTGGGTGAGGAAGGTAGAGAGGGGAGGTGGTCGCCAGTTGGTGGGGACTCATTAGGGAGGTAAACATCATTTAGACAAACATTAACACACACGCGCACACTCAAATACACACTCGATCACACACACAGTTAAGAGCCAGACCATGAAGAAAAGTATGTTTTCGTATTGAATTACTTCCAACGGTTCGAGGGCCGAGGCGCACAGTCGTGGGGTTGAAACAACACTGAGACAGAACGGTGACTGACCTCGCTCCAAACCAGCATGGTCCCGAAGATAACCTGAAGGCCGTCAAAGAAGTTGTCTCCGATGATGATGACTGTAGCGCCCCCTGTAGTCCACCCCTCACTGGGACTGATTGCTTTAATGCAGGGAGCTGCTCCTACAGAGAAAAAAACGAAAGGAAACATGCAAAAATTATTCTTGGCATTAGGCCTGTCGCAATACACAATAAATCAATTAATCACATGATAAATGAAAATTATCAACCTCATTTTCATTTATCGGCTTTATCGTTTCTTCGTGTCTCTCTCTTTCTACTGAAGACACTGGATGATAAAAAGCTCAACTTTGATGTTCTTCACTGACCCCTCCTTTTCTTTTTTTTTTCCTCTTTTCTTTAAAATCTGTTTTAACCATTCAAAAATCACATTTCTGGATTGTTAAAATCAGCTAAGTTGAGAAGCTAAGCTAACAGGCCGAACTCGGAGAAAAAAACCTTTGTCTTGTCAAAGCTCCGAAATTCACGGTTGAAACCCGTGCCTTCGTGTAAAATGTAGTTTTTCTCTGCAAAAAGAAGCTGAGAACTTGTTTAATGATTTTTTTTATTTTTATTAAAAGTTTTGTGTGACAAATGCTATGCCAAAGAGCTCAAACCACACAGAGCATCCGACATTTTGAGAACCGAAGAAAAGGTAAGACAGAAAGCCCATGTCACGTCAAGGGGTCTCCTTCCCATTTTCCTTAAAGAGACACGCTGTTCGCTCCCTCACTATCCATCCTTCGGTTCAAATAGTCTTATACTGTCATTTGGTGGTCAAAAAAAGTACTAGACTCGAAACAAATTAACAAACAATTCATCTTAAATTTCACAATAATTATAAATTTCAAACAATATTATCGTTTATGGCAGCACGGTGGCGCAACTGGTAGAGCTGCTGCCTCTCAGCGAGCAGGTCCTTGGTTCAAACCCCGGTCCAGGGGCCTTTCTGGGTGGAGTTTGCATGTTCTCTCCGTGCATGCGTGGGTTTTCTCCGGGTACTCCGGTTTCCTCCCACAGTCCAAAAACATGCATGTTAGGCTGATTGGTAACTCTAAATTGTCCCTAGGTGTGACTGAGAGAGTGAATGTTTGTTTGTCTCGTTTGTCTCTATGTGGCCCTGTGATGGACTTGCGACCCGTCCAGGGTGTACCCCGCCCCTCGCACAGTGATTGCTGGACATGGGCACCAGCGACCCCCGTGACCCAAAAATGGAATAAGCGGGTAAAGAAAATGGATGGATGGATGGATTATCGTTTATCGCAATAATTTCTGAGACAATTAATTGCCCAGCAAAATTTGTTATCGTGACAGGCCTACTTGGAATTAAAAAAAGATTTTTTAAATAATCAGCTGTAGAAAAAATAATACATAACTCTACCTTTAACAAGTGAAATTTAATTCAATACGTGTTGCATAACAAGATTTGTTTTATTTAAAGAATTAATCTCTGGGCGGAGGAGAGAAGAATCAGAACTATTTCATAATTAAATTATACTCGTAGTTCAACATCTAAGAGCCTACATATGTTTTTTTTTATTTGTTTCTGCAAAATCATATTATGAACAAAACTGCTGTGAGAAAAAAATGTATTTTAGAATATAATTATACATTGACTAGAAACATAGTGCATTGTTGTAGCTGTAAAAAATAAGACATGACAAAGATTAAGAGTCAAAAAGTCAAAATAGCCTTTACTAAAATATAAAAATGCACCATAATAAAATCATCATCTGTAAAAAGTGAAAACAAACAACGCAAAAAATGAATAAAAATATGATTTTTCTCTAAACATACAAGAGTTTTAATGTGTAAACATAAATTAATGACATATACCGTTAAAACACAAAAAAACTGATAATCTGAATGACAACATTCAGGATTTACATCATATAATAAAACCTTTTAATTGTTTTATTGTCTTTAAATGTTTTATTTTAAGTTTCTTTACCCTAAAGTTTGACTGATACAAGATCAGATGTGATATAACGCCACAAAAAAACACACCCAGATGGTTCAATATGCATCACATTACTTTAAATAAAACAGATACAGTCAGCTTATGTCACTTCCATACAGGCAGTTGAGTTTAATCCCACAGGATAACCACAAACGTCTGCCTGTCCGTCACAAAGCAGCACTCGATGTAATGCAAGTGTGGGATTATCAACATTCAGCTGAATTACAACACCACCCCTCAGTCTGGGTTTGTTTACGAGAAAAAGTACAATGATATTAGACCCACCGCACACACACACACACGCACACACACACATGCACACCATGATCTGTGTGTGTAGTAAGTTGGATTAGCCAGATGGAGGGGCAGGAATCACCTGATAGGATTAAACTATCAACCATCTGGTGGCCCTGCTGCTTTCTCTTTCTCTCTCACACACACACATACGCACGCGCATGCACGCACACGCACAGTGGTGTTACCATGTTCGAGGTAAGACGGCGTTCCCTCCACAGGGTCAAGCCTGCGGGCCCGTCGGCCATGTTTGGAGTTGTTGTGGACGAACATGTTGTCAGACACGGCCAGGACATGTCCCTCCACGCTCACCGTAGTTGACACAACCACCTGGACAGAAAAGGGGGACGAGATGAGGAACAGGAAACGAGAGTGGGAGGACAGGTGGGTAATATGATGAGAAGAAAGAGAGGAGAATTAGAGGAATATGGAAAAAGAAATAGACAGGAGTAGAAAAAGGACGAGGTGTGTGCACAAAAAGCAGCGGAAGAGGACAAAGAAAAGTGAACTAAAAGCACCAGGGGTGAAAAGATCATGCAAAAGAGGACTTTAAAGCATTAAGCTGTGAAAAGCTTTTTAAATGTAACCAGTTATCACTGCTATTACCATCATTCTTAACACACACTAAGCCCCTGTGTGTGTGTTTCTGATAGGTCCAGCCCTTAATTATCTCCCAGGGAAACAGAGCTGTCTTCTTCTGGTTCCACTACAATAGAGCTGCGCAATTAGAGGCTCAGATTTGGTCACACACTTGCTACAGTGTGACTTTGCCTGTCCTGTCCCCCCCAGCCCTTACACACACACACTCTCTCACATTTATAAACCTAGCCACACACACACACACTCACACGCATCATGGTAATAAATCTATCAGTATCTCCAGGGCGTCCAGTATATCCACTCAGCCTCGAGTGGTGTCTTCCTGATTGTGTTGCAGGCGCGTAGATAAGGAAATAATAACTGAGCTGCCTTAAATCTTTTTTCTTTCTTTCTTTTTCTTTCTTTCTTTTCATGTTCACTTTCTGTAAAGACAGTAATTGCTTATTTACTTATACAGAAAACACATAATTCAGTGTTACAATTAGGTATTATGTCTTTGGTCTTATGTCAGTTGTAAAATTAAGGCTGTGAAGAAGATGAACACACAAATGTAGAGTGAATTCACAAGAGGAAAAATGGGTACCACTTTGCAATAAGGCTCCCCTTATAGATGGCTAATAAATAGTACATAGATATGTTATTAATTCCTCTATAAACACTTTATAAATCATTAATAACTGCTTATTATGCATTAATTAAAGGTGACAGATAAAAAAAACTGACCAGTTTCTTGCCAAAAAGTGAGCCAAATCTGTTCATCTATATTAAACATTTTAGACTAAATTACTACCTTCTAAGCACAATAAACAATTGTAAATCTATTTTTTTAGGATATAATATTGTACTTTATCACTGCATGCACTATCTACAACTAATATTATATCCTTAAATAAATAGGTTTACAAATGCTTATGTAATTGCAAGGGAGTACTATTTGGCAAGAAACTGGTCAGTTTTGTCTCTCTCACCCTTAATTAATGCATAATAAACAATCATTAATGATTTATAAAATGCTTATAGATGAATTATAATGAATATATAAACTATTTATTAGCCATCCATAAGGGGAGCCTTATTATAAAGTGCTACTGAAGAAATAAATGTGATGCTTCTACCTGGAACCGTCTCATGTCTCGTGGGTTTCCTGCGTTCTTTAGACAGTTCTGGTTGCACTTAAGGAAAAACTTGAGGAAAAATCTGTTGAGACAAAAAGTTAAAGAACATGTTTGCCGTTAACAGTTGAACAACAGAAACAAGAACCATTTATGTCGAGATTATGAGCTCAAGACAGTCTGAGAGTGCACAGATCCCCAAACACAGATAAAGAAATTAATAGTTCAGAGTGTTTCTGGTACCGAAGGTCATGTTGAATTTCCATGTGGAATTTAGTTGCAGTCATAAGGAAGAACTTGTTTTGTTCTTGAATCCATAGCAGCTGCTTTGAAATGTGTATAAACACTGAAGGATCGTGCAAAAAGAAAAAGTAATACAATACACCTTGACTAACCTTATAACAATAAGTGACTCTAAGAAAGTTTGTTTGAAAAAGTCTTCAATTTTGAAACTTTTGCAAATGCAAACTTAAACTCGCCTCCACAGTAAAATGTATGCTTCATTCAACTAAGAAAATCTTTCTTTTCTTCCTACTTTTCTTTAAAACGAACTTCTCAGTTAGTTAAAACCTAGGAGTTCAACATGTAGCAGCTTTGGCAGTGTGGGTTACAGACGGAAGTGTATATTAAGATTAATAAAAACTTTCCACATGGATGAAGCTGTCAAATTTGAAGCCTTTGTTGTGCAGCTGATTTCTTACTCCCTTTGGTGAAAAAAAAAAAAAAAAAACACTGCAAACTCTGTTGACTTTGTAACTTTAAAACAGAATGTAGAAATATGTAATGAAACTTTTTAAATCAAATAAGTCAAACTGGCAGATGGTCATCAAACTAATGCATCCACATTGTGTTGTGGTGGCCAGCCAGGCTGAAGCAACACACTGAGAAAACACACACGCACCAGTGTTGTTTGTGTGTTAGAGCTAAAAAATAGCAATAACCTTCAGCACAACAAGAACAACAAAGAAAGATTTACACCAAATTATGTCAAAACTGCTTTTGTCTGCACCTCATTTCAATTAAACAATATAGTTTAAACAAAGATTAACTACTTTTTGTGTGTTTCCTGCATATTTTTAACATAACCGAAAAATGCCTGCAAATACAAAGCATAATATCATAAAATACCACAGCTAATTAATAACCCTGCTAAACATTATATATCATTATTTTGTGTTTTTATTAAACAATACTAAAAAAAAAAACCTGCTTGTTGAATTGCAAATAAATATATTTAGATTTAGTCAAAATCACATTTTATGTCAAATTCCAACATTTTTGCTATAGGACTGGACCTGATTTATTTATTTATTTGTTTATTTATTTATTTTGCAAATCATTGTTTACAAGATATTGCAAGATTTGTTTCATTTTACACTGTAAAAATTGTTTTGCATGAACAAGTGCTTTGTGAAACTTTTGTCAAAACTGTTGAGTTTGTATAAACCAGATTCAGGAAAGTAGGAAAATTATTAAGTCAGTCCTAGAACATTATGATGGCACAACCCATCAATGCAGAAGAACAAACTATTTAACAAATCTGAATGGATCATGTTGATGTTATGCAAACATATTTTTTATTTAAGTTAACCAAACATGATTGTATATATTGGGAATGACCCCCACCTCGAAACCATGAATGGATAAAATAAACAAAAAAGGATGTGAACAACATGTTTCTGCTGGAACATTAAATAAATACTTTAGATGTTATTTTAAAACAGATTACACAATTGTCTTTAACTCTATAACATATTTATTCTCTTATCTGGTCATCTACTGCACTAAAAATGGCAGCCTCTGTACTGAACCAGCAGAATAAAGCAGAGGCCTGTACCTCAATGTGTGTGTGTGTGTGTGTGTGGGGGGGGGGGGGGGGGGGCGCAAATATACGCTGCGCATGTGAGGGTGTGATGGTGCAGCAAAACTCAGTGGCAGGTCTGAGTGTAAAACTCTGCATTAACGAGCTCAGGCTTCATTAGAACAGCGGCGCAGGGATTCTGCATGCCTAATTATCTTGACCCCTGACCCCCGGGTGACAGCCTATCAGAGCGGAGGACAGCCACGGTGACCCCAGCTGACCTCTCACTGTCCAGCCCTCCTCACAACACTAGCATAGCGTTAACACAATCACCTCAGCTGACCTTCCCTTTGGAGATCTGTGCGTAAAAAGAGGCGACTGGGATGTGCACACTCCCCAATTTATGAGTCTGATCTAAAGCAGGACTACAGCAGAAGGTGGTGGTGGTGGGTGGGGGTGATTTGTTAGCAGTTTTCTTATTTAAATGAAAGTCCTGCACTTGAAGAAGTTACAGTAATAATGGACTCAAACAGAACATGTGGATAAAGTAGTAAAAATATATTTTTGGTTTGCTTTAAAGTAATTTGTAGTTCAAATGATTTATTAGGTTCCAGGTATGTGTATTTTATATGAACATGTATTTAAAATGTTATATGCTACTAAAATGTACTTTAGCTATTTGCTAAGGCCATCTATCAATCAGTCCACTTTCTTTTTACTTGCTCTTTTCTATGTGGGTCACGGGGAGGCTGGCGCCTGTTTCCAGTGGTCACAGTGTGAGAGGCATGGTACTTTGACAGGCTGTAAGTCTGTCAGGGGGCCGCAAAGAGACGAATGAGACAACCATTCACACTCTCACTCACACCTGGGGACAAGTTATCAATCAAACGAGTTATCAATTACCTAAAATGTATGTTTTCGGTCTGTGGGAGGAAACCGGAGTACCTGAAAAAACTTTGTGACAAGAACAATTTCACAGAGAACAAGAAGAAAATGGTAAATGGACTGTATTTATATAGCTCCTTTCTATCTTATCAAGATACTCAAAGCTCTTTACACAACAATCTGTGTCCTCATTTACCCATTCATACAGCACTCTACTAGATCTATACAACGCTAATTGAACAAATCATTCTAAAGAGACTAATTAGTGCTTTATCACATTCATACACTGATGGGACACACATCAGAGCCAACGAGGGGTTCAGTGTCTTGCTCAGGAACACTTCATCATATGACTACTGGTGGATTCAAACCCCCAACTCTTGCACTGGAGGACGACTGCTCTAACCACTCAGCCACAGCCACCCAAAGGGACAAGTTAGAAAAGGTAATGTAACAATGGTGTCCAGTATGCATCTTATTTGATGACATGTACATTCAGTTATCTTACCCTGTTCTCAACATGTAGCAATGGCTGTCTTGATGATGATAAACTAAGATAACTTAATAATAATTAACAATAGATAACACGTTAACAATGTTGATTTTCTTTCTTATGCACAGGAATGCTGTTGTTGTTCAGCGTATTGTTATTGCACTATTAAGTGTTTAGTGTATTCTTAGTTCATATCGTAGATCTTATTACTGTTTTTCTTTTACAATTTATACTTTTGTTGGATGTAACTGGGACCCTGTGTACACAATTTCATTCCACCACATGTACCACCTGCGATGTGAATAACAATAAAGAAACTTGACATTGACATTGAAAGTAAGTTGTACTTTTCTTTGATTCTTAAGTGTGAAACTACACAATCTAAACCAATCGGACATATATTTTCCAAAACAATCAACAACTTTCAGTCTTTTGTCATTTTTTTAGCAGTGCTTTAACTCTTTTTAAAGTTTGGAGTTAAAATTAATATAAAGCATGAGGTTTACATTTTAAAAACACATTTTATTTTAATCCATTGTTACTTTCTGTTGTATTATAAAAACGGGAGTGCTTTGAATAAACAATATCTCTGCCCATAATACCACTACAAACCTCTTGCAGTCTGACAGACTGACATAAAACTGTTAATCCGACAACAACAAAATATTTACAGTGAAATGTTGCACTTCACTATGTTACAATAAAATTATAAAACACAAAGCTGAATTTAGGTAATAGAGACAAAAACACATCTTTAACTTAAAATGACACGTTACAATTTATACACACCATGTACGATTTTGAAAGGTCTTATAATAGATTTTAGAGTCTATGGTTCTGAATGGCTCAGTAGGATGGTAAAAGTGCCTGAAAAGCAGATTTTGTTTAATCCCACTAAATGAAAACATCTGATAGATGTCTAAATTGCGTTTTAGACATACCATATTTTTCAGATTATAAGACGCACTTAAAATCCTTTAATTTGGTCAAAAATTGACATTGAGCCTTATAATCCAGTGCACCTTATGTATTAATTTTGGTTGTGCTTACTGACCTCGAACTGATTTTATGTTATAACTGAACAATGTTGACAGTTATTGTGAAGGAGTTGAATAAAGTTTAACTTATCAGACTGTTTTGTTTTGCTTAATGCACCTTATAATCCAAAAATATGGTAATAAACTTGGAAATTTGGTCCACATTTTCCCCAATTTTAGTTTAGACATTTACAAACATGCCATGAAGCCATCATTTCAGCACAAAAATACCTAATGGGTACTTGGTTTCATTATATTTTACCACTTGCTTTTCTAACTGTTGCGTGGTGAACAAGGAATTGAAAAGAAACAAGAATGTAACAAAATCTCAGCTCAACAGCGAGAAAAATAATCAGCTTAATCAAAATGAAGTGCAGTAAATATCGTCCGTCTATCACTGGTTTCCTCATTAGGCTTTGTATTGCCCTCTACCACTTGACTTCACTTGTCTTTTTCCTGTGAGTGCTTTCACTCATTGATATTGTGGTACATCTTCTACATTTTAATGCAGCGTAAGAACATTCCTGTTGACCCCATATGGCCTAATCAACTGTGATACAAAAAGGCCCTGCAGCAACACGCACACGCAGACACCTTGTGTAAATTGATTAGCTGGTCCAGTCACTGGTCGTTAAGAGGCTCCCAATTAAAAGAGGCAATTATTTGAGTCAGACTGATGGAGGGGGAGGGGAGCTGTGTCCCCGTTTATATTCTGTCGCACTCCTCCACCTCGAGGCTCGATCATGTTCAAGTGATAACAGCACTGTTGACCTTTGCTATATTGAGGGTACCACACTGAGAGAGCTGACCCAAGACCAGTCCAGCTCGATACACACACACTCTATCAGCGCAAAAACAAGTTTGTTGAG